AGAGACAGAGAGAAAGAGAGAGGTTAGACACTCTCTGTACGCTTAACTTCAATCATTATTGACGCTCTACGTTATAATTTAAAAAGCCACAAAATTACTCTACAACAGCAAAGGAACCAAAACCAAAAGATGACCAACGCCATGGACATTGTCAAAAATGGTGGGAGCACCAACGGTTCGGTGGACGGTAACTCCGATGAATCGCGCACCAATCTTATTGTTAACTATTTACCGCAGACAATGACTCAAGAAGAAATGCGCTCATTATTTTCGAGTATCGGTGAGTTGGAGAGCTGTAAACTGGTGCGCGATAAAGTCTCAGGTAATTTGGGTAAATATTCCATTTTTCTTAAGCAACAAAATTATTCACTAAACGGGAATGAAAATGTCAGCGAGTAATTTTTCAAATATTTATTAAGTCAACCTTATCGGTACGTTTGGAAAGTGTAAGTGCTGGTTATGTTTCGCTTGATTAGCGAAATTGATTCGGTCAGATATCTGTTGATCAGAAATTAGCTTTGCCTCCAACTTTATCTTCGTAAAACTTATTTATGATGAACATCGAATAATTGGGAATCACTGGTTGCGTCAAGTTTTGTTGAAATAATTTTACTAAAGGCGCTTTCATTATTTTGACAAAAGTAAAGGTACGACTTAGTCGTTCTTCGTTCTGCAGATCGTAAATTTTTAATGGGAAAGCTTTCCAATTCCATCTATGCCATATATGCTGTCGTTTTCATTCTCTTTATAGTTTGTTTATCCTATCAAAATACTTCTATTAATGATTCTTTTTTTTCATGTGGCATCTCTCTTACACAAACTGCTCTCTTCGCTTCTCCTATGTACGCGTAACAGTGCTGCCAGCTTCTTTGAGTGCTCTAAATCCGGCATTACAGCAAGGTTCGTATCCTACATATATTTGCGTGTGCGTGTAGGCGAATTTCTTCTTAAAAGAGAATGCTTAATGATTAAAAAAAAAAAAAAAAAAAAAAAAAAAAATTCTTTTTAGGTCAAAGTTTAGGTTATGGTTTTGTGAATTACGTACGCCCTGAGGATGCTGAAAAAGCCGTTAACACATTAAATGGCTTACGTTTGCAAAATAAAGTGATTAAAGTCTCATATGCCCGTCCAAGTTCGGAATCCATAAAGGGTGCTAATTTATATGTATCGGGTCTTCCCAAAAATCTATCACAACCAGACTTGGAGGCATTATTCTCACCATATGGCAAAATAATTACATCTCGTATACTCTGTGATAATATTTCCGGTAAGAAAAAGAATTTCTTTTTATTTTCTTTTTTTATATACTTTCTTTCTTCGTTCTCTAACGTTCTAACGTTTAATAATTGTTATTGCGTTAGGTCTCTCCAAGGGTGTTGGTTTTATACGTTTCGATCAACGCAACGAAGCCGAACGTGCTATTCAAGAATTGAATGGGAAAACTCCCAAAGGTTATGCAGAACCGATAACCGTTAAATTTGCCAACAATCCTAGCAATAGCGCCAAAGCTCAAATACCACCACCATTGGCTGCTTATCTAACACCCCAAGCTGCTGCCGCTACCAGACGTTTAGCTGCTGGTGCTTTACCATCAGCTGGGCGTATTAGGTAATTAGTTTTCCCTTCAAGTATATCAAAAGTAAAACAAATAAATAAAGATAAGTGTTAGGGCCTTAGCGGAAATCAAAATTCAAGTAACGTTCGATCTTTTGCCCTTTTTCTCATATCTCCTTAATTAATCTCTACGATCATTTCATTAATATTCTTTACATCTTTTACTCAACAGTTTGTTTTTTAAATAATTTCTTTTTCATTTTTCACTTATAGACTTGCGGGAATTTTTTTCTATTCCTTTTTTATATTACATTATATTTGGTTTTTTCACTTTTTTTTTATTTACTACGTCTAGGCGTAAATATTCCGGTCGTGCAGTCTATAAAAGACGAATCAGTGTTGCCACAGGGAAAAGAAATAAAAATTTTTAAAAAATCTTCACAAGAAATAACTTTCTAATCGTTACGCATTCCCTGCTTTTTTTTTTTTTTTTTAACCGGCTCAATGTGTCATATTACTTGGAATTTTCGAAAATTAAGCAAATTACATGTATTCGCCTTCGGGCGGATAATGGATATTCAAGACCTTTGGGGTCCCCATAAGCATTGCAACTGTTATTGTATTCATCAAATTTCGTTGATGTTCAGAGAGTTGATACTTAAAACGAAACTAATCCAATAACCCCAAAATACGCATAATTCAACACCTACACTACCCATCCAAGCAGAAGCACCATTCGAGATCGCGCTATGATTCTTTTGCCATCACTCGACAGTTACTATTGTAGAATAGAATAGATTAGAATGTTTTGGGCTTCTCGCCAGGCATTATTTATTGGTAATAACTAAAGTTTAAATGGTTTCTCCGATAAACTTGAAGCTTTGTGAACTTTAATCCAAATCTATCTCTGAGAGAGTGATTTTACTCTTCAAAGCTATTAACAAATTTAACAAAAATCGCGGAATATTTTACTCAACAATAAAATTAGCCTCTAATATGAATATTTTGATAATATTTGGGTTATATGTAAAAGAAGGATTGTTGGGTAAAGTCGAATATTAGATACCCTACTTCGTCTAGTACAGTTCACTCGTTTTGGTAATAATACAGCAAAGATTACACATACACATACATGAAAGCTGGCATATAGCCCGCGAGGAATACTTATTTGTGACGGTATCCATAAGATAGACTTTTACTATTGTGAACTAAATTTAACCATTATACCGAAATTAAAAATAAAAAATATTGGCGAAAAGTTGAGTTCAAATTTTTTTCGTATTTGTGCGTCCTTTGCCTTCGCAAGGAAAACGTTCATAAGGCCATTCTTGAAGTAGACTTATAGACGAGTAACGCCATCTGATTGCTACTGCAGGCAATACTTCGAGTTTTGATTTCTGTTATTACCGATCCATTGGGACGAAGAACTTTTATGCCTTAAAATTTATCATAAATTAAAGTTGGAATATCTCTATCCACAATAGGGAAAAGCATTTCCTTATAAAACAAAATGAGACACTACCGTCTTACTAAGGAAGTTCAGTTTAAATTTCGATCATAGCGAATAGTTTGAGTTCGGATTTGGTTGAATTTGAGTCGTTCTGCTTTTTCCACAGTGACAATGAGTGATAAAAAGCAAGTCGCACAGAGCGTTATCCAGGGAATGAAATGTCAAAAATTCAGGCAAGATGCTTTGGAAATGATTCAAAAGACTTCAAACGTGTTATGATATCTGCCTTCATACTGTTATCAGTGCGTACTTGCGTAAATGAAACTGACAGTTGATTGTTGCGCGAGAACAATTTCCGCATACCCCATAAATTTTCTTAAATACGTTGATAATTATTAAAAGGCTTTTTAGTGTTGGCATCGGATTGAGTCCCGAAATATTGCACAAATGTATAAAGTTCAGTGTAATTCGTTAGTCGGTATTTTTTTTCAAGAGCCGAAATCGGCAAACACGATCCGAAGCACGGTTAACGTGAACATGCAGCAATAGCGTTTAGTCTCACATTGCCACTCTTGACTATTGAAGCTTACTGGTTTTAACAGAGTTTTTTAATGAAAAACGATCACAGCTAACATAAACCAATTAATGCATAGATCATCATCCTCCTACAGAACGGTTTCTAGCAAAAAATTTTAAAAAACTATATATAAACACTCATAGATAAATGTATATATTAAGTCGACCAAGAATATGAGACTGAGATCTAAATTTCTCAGTTTTACTTGATCTCTGGCGAGTTTTTTTGTCTTTTGTTGGTGCAAAGTCAATAAAATTCATTTACTCTTTAGTTTTTTGGGGTTGTGGGTATAATAAATACTTTATATAATTTATTTTCTTACTGATTTCCTATTTTTTGAAAAACTTTTTAAAAAGTAAAAGAAGAAAAAAATTAATTATTTATTTTTAAAATTCTTGTTTTTCCAATTTTTTTCTTTTTTTCATTTTCTATATTTTCTTTTGGTTTTATGTGGATAAAATAACAAAAAAAAAAAAAAAATAAATAAAAATAAAAAAAATAAAACAAATAAACAAAAAAAAAAATAAATAAAAAATTAATTGATAGCATTGGAAAAAGTCCCATGTTAGCCATTAACAAGGGTTTGAAAAGGTGATTTATGCTTTTTTTCTTAATGTAAAAATTTTTTATAAAAAAAATTTATTTTATGTTTAATGTATTATTAAAAACCAAATGTTTTTGGCTGAGATAGTGATTTGTTTTATAATTTAGTTTTTGTTGTCATTAAAAAGCTTTTAATGTTTTTGATTAAATATAATTTTTATGATTTCAAACATTGTTTAAATATTTAAGTTGAACTTTTTTTTCTCCTATTTTGTATTTTATTATTAATTGTGTATTTTGTGTTGAGATTATATGAAGAAAAAATTAAAAAAAATGTAATAAGAATCATTTTCGCTTTGCAGCGAATTTTGGATACCCACCACTCAAAGCAATTTTTATAATAAACAATTAAAAAAATTACATTCGGTCGTGATCGAATCTTTTATACCCATCACGGTGATCCTAAAAAAAAAAAAGGAAAAAAACCTTCTAATATTAACTGGGCGTAACTGATTTTTTCTATTTTCATTGCAAGAACTTCCGATGTTTCCGCTAAATTTGAATTCGATAGCTTTCTTTTTGCGGTCAGGAGAATGGTTACAATTGATGTTATACAGGCGAACAAACAGCCAGAGCGATAGACGGACATGATTAAATCAATTGAGAATATCATGCTAACGAAGAATATATACACTTTGGCGGTCTTTGAAGTCCCCTTATGTGCGTTGCGAACGTTTTGACTAAATGAATATAAATTTCATGTTGCGGTGATGGGCACCTTAAGTGAAGGGCATTATCTTTATTTTAGAAGAATTTAGCGGGAGGTACATGTGTGCACAGTAAATTGTAACCCGTGATTAAATGCATCAATGATTCGTTCTCTCTCTCTCTCCCTCTCTAACTCTCTCTTGAGGCAGCAAATAGTTGAAATTTTCGTAAGTTCCTTTTATAAAGTTCCACCTTCTACTAAACATATTGAAAGCAGGTATTAAGGTCAAATAGATATAATATTTAATTTGATCTAACTGGAATTCTGAAATTCATTATAAGATCAGATCTTTTATGTATATAATTTCTTAACATTATAATTGCGACAATTTTCATCTTTGAGTGGTAGGTAAAGAATACATTAAATCCCAATAGATGTTTTATAGTTTAATTCGAAACCACACCACTATCATTTATTAAGTGTTAAACCAATTATTTGAATTGTTCCTTTTTATTTATTTTAATAAAATTTAAAAAAAAAAAAAAGAAAAGAGCTTAGGGATGCCAAGACACTTTAATTATATTGCAAGAGAATTTCTCATACCCAGCCGTAAGATGAAATCGATAAAGTGCAGTGGGCGGCCTGTAGATTAACAAAGAAGAAGAAAACAAGAAGATAAGACGGACAGATGGACATAGAAACTTAGTATTTAAAGAAGGTAGACCGATCTCAAAAAAAAAAAATAGATTACGCTCCCAAAATTTTGGTTGAAATCTCGAAACCTCTTTGTAAAATTCTCTTTCATGATCTTGCCGATAATTGGCATCATTCCTTTTATCCTTCTTGTACATGTCTTGCCGTCTTGTATTATATTACGGATGCCCAACAACAACAAAATGTTTCCGCATATAAAGCAAGCGTTTCCAATGGAATGTATTGCCTTGATTTTCGTAATGTAAAGGTACAGCAACATTAATTAAAACAGTAGAGAACCGCAAAAAAAGTTTGGAGCTTGCAATACAAGTACATATATTGGCAAGTCTTGATTTACGATCAATATGCAAAGGAAAGGAAGGTAGCTGCAATGTTTGTAAGAGTTACGATCACGTCTATGCAGATAGCGTGCTCCTGGAATTCTTATCTATCCTTGGCCTTGGCATCGTTAGCTTGCTCTTTTCTATAAAGTAAAAACATCCTCTCACCTCTATTACTAAGTCATAAAAAGATTAACGTTAAGTCTAATTAACTTAGAAAGCATGCAAAAATGAAATAAAAAATTAAATCAAAAAAAAAAAAAAAAAAAAATCAAAAAAATCAAAAAAATAAATAAATAAAATACTAAAGCAAAGAACTTTATATTAAAACATAAATAAATGTAACGTAGAGTTTCAAAATATGAAGAAAAAAAAAAAAAAAAAAAAAAAA